AGGGTCGCGTTTTATATACGGGACCCTAGGGTCTCGTATACCGGCTCCCGCTAGGAGAGACCTTGAGATTCGAGTTGCGGGCCCCCTTTTCAACTGGCTTTGGGCCTGGCACTCCTCCTCCCTCCTTCTCCCTCATGTCCCTCTACGATAATACATGCCGTTAATAACAACACTCTTTGGACTCTGGAGGTCACACAACAAGGGCATACCAACACGCGGCACGCACCAAGCAGATACATAGCTGCTGCAGTATTTTTTGTGTTTTATTAGACCGCCGTTGACAATTAAAAGTGGGTTGCGGCTCGAGATGAAACCAAAGTGTGTGAGTGGACGTGAATGTCCATTCGTAGAAGGCAGCCTTCACCTGAGATTGAGCTGCCGCGGGAATGCTGCGCCCGACTACTCCCGATTGTGTGCCTTGACCTGCTGTTCTTGTTGAGGCGACCACTGAACCATCAGGCGGCCGGCTCGTTCACAGCAGTTTGGACCTCGAACAGCAGGACTGCTGTAGACATGCTTTCCCACCAACAACGCCGGACTGTACCGTATTGCCGACTTCCGTCGGCAAGCGGGAGACGATTTGGCGCCCCGTGTTATGTGTGGATTTTACACGGCACTGGCGGTGCGTGGTGCGTGGTGCGTGGTGCGCTGGCGCCTCCGCCAAGCACGGACCCACGCACCATCAGCGCCAGGGGCGCGGCGGCTAGGATACGACGGGTATGAGGGGGCTCCGTGAGCATGGAATACAGCCAACAACATATTCGCACGATTGAGAGCGAAGTATCTGATTGAGAGCGAGATCGTGCGATACGATGTAGCTTGTCTACTTCTGAGAGGTAGAGCTTGCTGTGCGGCTTGAATTGAAGGGCTTGCCCATAGCTACAAGCCGATACCCGGGTCATCCTGCGGGTGTCTCGCGTTGTGGAGCTACACCGCGGAGCACAAGCTACGGGAGGGCCTACCGCGCCAGGCGACGGCGCCCTGAAACAGTTTCGGGCAGGAATAGCCAATCTGGGGAAATCTAGCAACGTGCGTAGCTCCTCGCTGCTGCAGCCGATCGCAGTGACACGCATATGCACGCGAAGCTGCTGAAGAGAGCTTCAATTTGCGCCGCTTTTTGGAAAAGCCCGTCCCCTGCTTCCCGAGAAATGACGGGAGGCGTCTGGACCCGAATTTCGAATTTTTCTGGTTCTCGCTCTCAATCGGAAACTTCGCTCTCAATCGGAAACTTCGCTCTCAATCGTGCGAAAACCCTGTTAGCCGCCGCTGCCGCATATAAAACTTGCATCACTATCAACATCAGTAGCACACGCTGCTTTCAAGCGAGTGGGTGGAATTGTCCGTACCACGATGAGTATTGCGAAAGAGGGAGGAGGAAGGGCGTCCCCAAGGTCAACATATCACTTAAATCGTCGCAATGTGCGTCTACGGGGGGTTTAGACAAATAGCTTGTCGACAGCGGTACAGTGCCGGCCCGCACTTAAGGACCTACCATATTGGGCGAGGCTCAGTTCTTATTGGTTGCCCCAACCCGAGCACCAGTTCTTATATGCCAAGTTCTTATTTCGTCGTCCATTCTTCTCCAGAAAGGGGCGTTCTTGTTCTTACAGTTTTTTAACATCATTTGCTATATTGTCGGCTGTCAACCATGAGCAACACTAGTACTGCTGTCGATACAAGAAAATTCCAAGGCATGGAGCAGCAACTGTCCACCTTCTTGGTCCACAAGGGTGACGTTGGTCCTGCGTACCCTTCCTGGTCTACTTATAATGCTCTCAAGCGAAACCGCAAGGGGGAACACTGAAAATAAAACGTGTCCCTTGCAAGTAGAGTCACAAATTTACGACCGACTTCCTCGCCAAAACCCCCATGCATCCAGGTGACAACGGCAAATACCGGAAATGCCGAAATGCCGCCAAAATTCCACTGAACCAGAATTCTACCCTTCAAAGAGTCAGCCAAGTATGCCCATGAAGGAGCGCACACGCAGCCATTCGTCTGAGCTACTCCCCCACCTCTCCTGGTTTTCGGAGCTAGCCGGCAATTCAGATCCAGCCGTTGTGCGATACGTAATCATCTCTGTTAGGATTTGAGGAGGACGGAGTCTAAAGCTGTAGAGAAGCACTGCGCCTGTTCGCTCCTTCTTACTGCTGCTTGAGACTGACTTGGGCCCTCCAAACCTCCGACAGGTACGAACAAACTCCTTTGTGTGTGGTCGAAGATGGACTGCGTCTTTGTACAAGCCCAACATGCCACCATGCACAACATACTGCTGCTGCCGTTCACCTGTCGCTGCCCTTCCACGTCTACCTGTCCATGACACATGCTGCCACTTGATGCGACAACATCTAGGAACAACACGGACACAGGGAGTACCCCCCCTACCCATACACACACCGTCAAAATTGAACAACCTCTCATTCCTCCCTTTCCACATACATCTGATGTAGATGCATGAAATGATACAATCTGTCTTTACTTATGGTCCGCGCTGTCTACAAATGGGACAGGTAGCCATACTTTCTGCAGACACACGGGCGAGAGAGGTGACCATACCCACTGCATTTCACACACACCCACATGTCGGTGATGAAACCTCAACCACACGCCTCTCGAGTCTATCGGTGGCCACGTCAGGAGGCAATGATGCGATTATGTTCTCCCGTGCCCTTCGCATATTTAATGACGTGCAATTACACAACACCATCCCGCACATGATCCCATACATCACACACAAAAAATAAGTTGATGACGAAAATATACACACCCCGAGACGCGCTTGCTCCGCAACCACACAATTCGAGTTCCCCTAAATCTTCCGTCTACAACTTCCCAACAAAACATGCAGATAGATACACAAGATGGCTACCAAACTGCCTTGTTGAGCCTGTTACTTACAGGGGAGATATCGCTGTATGCTGTCTGGGAAACCATAGACATACATGTAGCTTTCACTCACGCTATGGATTCATTGCTAATCTATGTCAGACTTATTCTATAGATAGAGATGGATTTGTTGTGTGATATTAAGAAGATATAAGAAAACCTGGAGCCTACAGCCGCATCCGAATCTCCGCTGAACTTTTCTAAGGGTTAGGGTTAGGGTTCAAGTTGCGCGTACTCTGGTCTAGCTTCAGCTGCACACAGTAGTCGTACAGGTGGCGAGTGTCCTTCTGAGATTGTTGAGTGATCAGCCCTCCAAACCACCTCATGCCCACCCTAACGAGCACTCCACGCCGCAAAAGCAATCTGTCAAGAGCAACGGGTTTAGCTTCTTCAATACGAAAGCCTGCCGGGATCTCCATTCCCTGTATTTCATCATCCGGGTCTTGTGGGTCCATGCTGTCGTCGTCCTCCAGAAGAGCTAGCTCGTCGGTCTGGGTTGAGAGATGTCTGCGAACGAGGCAACGGGAAACACGAGAAGTTAGGGTGTCACGTCGTCAAGCTTAACCTGAACTTATCACATAGCCGTGCGCGGAAACAAGCTAACGTCAACATGAACAACATCGTCATCAACTACAAGAAGATTAAGAGTTGGTTTCGTGCAAAACAAACTTACCGCCGTCGTCTTCATCGCTGGAGTCAACGCCCTCCATGAGCGTCTCACGTCCTCCATCGCCGTCCTCCGCCCGCTCCTCAGACTTATCGTTGCCATTCTCCGAACCTTGTTCGTCGTCGCTACTGTCTTCATCGTTAGCCAAGGTATACGGCTTGTCCAAACCCTCCAAGGTGATTCGATCATCGCCCGAGCCGTCCACAGTCATGGCCATCCCGCACTTTTCGAAAGGACTGTATCGATACGCCTGTTGGCTGTTGAGTCTTGCTATGGCCGCTCCCATCCACTGAGTGATCAGGACGCGCCGATCAGAAGCTGTCAGCGACGCGGTTTCCCACCTCTCGAGGTTGTCCGACTGCTCGAGCCATATGTTCATCTGCCTCCCGACTTCCACCTGTAGAAATCGTCCGGTTCCTGCATCACCTGGCTGAACCTCGTCCGTGCACTCCGAAGGGCGATACCAGGCGAGAGTGTTGCAGTGCTTCGCAAGATACTCCTTGAACTCGTCCGTGGTCTGCGCGTGCAAGTTGTCCATGATAAGAATGGACCTCGCCTTGGGGACCTCACCCCGCCCGCGCATCACGCTTTTCTCGGGGGCACCCAGGGGCACGACGCGTGCGTACAATGCCCACCCTTCCCCTCTAAAAAAATATAAATAAATGTTGATAGGTGGGGTATGTACCCCTCCCAAATCCAATAGTCTGTACTGTGGGATCACTCCCCCCTCTTCCCTCCCTCCCCCTGCGAGTATTCTAATCTGTCAGCCGCTGCATTGCTGTCGTTTTTATTTGTAGCAGCAATTTTGCACCTCAGGCGTGTGTCCTTGTTCCTAACAGGGCGTGCAGCTGAGCACGTGTTCTTATCGGTAAATCCTTAAGTTTTGGATTTTTTGAGCATCAAATTCTTAAGTGCCATATTCTGAAGTGCGGGCCGGCACTGTGTGCATGTATGCATGTATCCACAGCTACCTATCACAGCTAGCTGTGTACGGGAGGATCTTCCCTTCTTCGAGGTGGCAACGCAATTTGTTGCCTTCACGGCCCACAGATCTCAAAATACAACCCAGGCAGCGTCGACACCCTGTTAGGGATCCTGCCCGTGGACCTTCTGGGGACCGATTACCTTTGCAGGGTGTCACAGCGTCCGTACAGTGTCTATTTGGCCGCAAGGTCCGTGCAGGGGTAGCCATTTGGCCAAAGGTGTATCTTTTGAAAGATAAAATTACCCCAATAGACTGGTCAGCGTAGACTAGTCAGCGCTCACTAGTCCAATGGTTTAACATGTGGCGATAGAGGATTCACGCACAGGTTCGGAATCGACTGGTCACTTTCCTACGCACCCTTAAGTACTCTTCAGGCAGCGTCTGGCGAGGGGTCCGTCCCCGGAGGTCTCTACTCACGAACCCAAAAATGTGATCCAGCCGGGTGTAAATGAGCTCTGGGCATATCTTTTGAAAGATAAAGTCACACTATTAGATCAGTCAGCGCTGGGTGCAAATGAGCTCTGAGCATGTTTTTTGGAAGATAAAGTTACAACATTAGATCAGTCAGCGTTGACTAGTCTAATGGTGTAACTTGATCTGCCAAAGGACACTTGGCCCCAGTACACCAGGTGAACACGGTCACGGTCAGGCGCATAGCTCAGCTAGGCCGTAGTGAATCCCAACATAGGAGATCACCACACGGTGGAGCAGCTGCGTGACTACCCATTGGTAGCGGTTTGGGGTGGAATGATCAAGGCCTCACTATATCTGGCCATCTCAAGTGTAACCTTCCAAAACACGTCATAGTGGCACGGTTGCTCGGCGCAGCACTAATTTAAAACACTCCGCCTCTGAGATCATGTCGGTCGCCTCTGCCCCTTTCTGCGAGGGGGAAGCCTTCGCGATCGAAGTCCACGCTTGTCTACCGGAACTGATGCTGCTATTGCGATGTGAGGTAAGCACAACAGTTCGGCGCGTGTGGGTTGACACGAACAACATGCGTCGGCGCATCACGTCTGTACCTGCACGTGACACCAGATACCACACCCCCTCACCGATGGTCGCTTGAGTGCTACACGACGAAAAGGATGGAGAACAAAACAAACGATAGCTTTTCGGGGACACTCTGAACGAGCTGTTCCCAAGGCCGCCATTGTCGACACAGAAAGCTTTTGTTGCTGTGGAGTATTCGGTCTTTGAAATTTGGTCCACGAGGTGTGATATCTTGTGCAACCGAAGGTACACATGTTTTAGCGTGTGGTCGTACGCTTCCAAAAGAGTTGTTACGCGCCTTCGGTCTGCGGAGGGAACGGGGTTTTCACCTAAGAACGAAGTGGATCTGGTGTGGATGGGTGGGCCCGTGTTGTCGTTTCGGTTTGCAATGGCGAACTCCCGTACGCTAAATTACTTTACGCGCCCCGTCTCGTCTCTTTTAATAATGTTCACGTTTGAGACACTCCGCGTTGCACCCTTGGGTGCACGGAGGTTTGCATGCTCACCGCCCACTCACAGAAAAAATAGGGTAGGTTCTGCCCTTGCTTACTCAAGTGCGTACGGCAGTTGACGAAGGAAGAAAAATGTAACACGGTAGTCGTAATGCGTTCTACATCCAACAGACGAAAGATGTGTGTACGAAGGGCATCCTGTCGTCGACTTCGACACCCATCAGTCCCCTTCCCAGTTGGTTTTTCGGTAGACAATCACATGCTTACCGTTTACGCCGACCTGCGCAATGTCGTAACCTAGACATAAAAATTAGTTCTTCATGTTGGTGTTGTGCAGAATCCCGGCACGTATAATAGTATGGACGCGTGTGATCCGGTTGAAGTTAACCCCCTCCCTTCACCCTTACCGAGAGGTTCGCAGCGATTTGCCCTGATCAAAAGACACGCCGTCTACACGTTGTGTGAGAATCATTGATCATCGGCGGAGTCAACAGACATGTGCACATCCGCCTTGAAATATCCTCACATGGTCACAATAGGTGATGAAGCACGCATTTTCAACACTTGTTCATCGACGACACCTCATCCTTGGCTGAAACATCGCATAGTTCAAGGATCGAGCAGGGCCGGCGGTCCACCTTTTCCTGCAGCGTTCACGGGAACAACTTGAACATGGAGAGAAGACCATATGCGGGCGGGTGGTGGATTCTCTTGACGAAGCTGGCAGGGAAGAGCCCGCCCGGGGAGATAGGGGAGACGAAGAAAAACAAACCCGGAGGTGGCGGCCGAGAGACGACACCGGATAGCAAGAGGAAAATCGCACAGGAGAGGGGAGTGAGGGCAAAGCATCCGAGAGGGGGTTATGTCCTCTTGAGGAAGCTGGCAGAGAGATGGGGGCGCCCGCGGGGGCAGGTGGGGGGGACGACGGGGAAACACCCGACGAATCTGACCGAGAGACGGCACTGCCCGACGAGGAGGATAGGCGGGAGCCAAGGGTCGGGTTACGGTGAGGGGAAGGCGGTCGGGTTGGGTCGGGTTTCGTGTGGCCGAAACAATCGTACACTCTACCTCACAACCCCCAGGAACAAATAAGAAAAAACAGGACATGTCCCGTGACAACACCGTCCATTGGATACCCCGGCTGTTGGAGGAAGGACGCGTTGAATAAAAATCCACCGCTGTATATGTGCTTCGTAGATACGTCGTCATACGGCTACAGGTATGCGAACGAACTGCGTTCCTGTCCAACGCTACGGTACTGGCACCGCGTGGGGGCCGTGTTTTAATTGGCAGCAGTTTCACAGCCCATCGAATTTGGCCACGGATGTTTAGCCAGCAGCCAACAGCGAGACTCCTACCCCCCCACGCGTTGCTCAAGGGCGGCCTCGTTGCAACGCGTGAGCAACCCTTTCTGGTATCGGCTGGATTTAACTCTTGGATGACTTCGCAGAAATTTGGGAGAAAGGATCGGCGAGTAGCGATGAAAGCGACGAGTCGATAGACAGTATGGATGACGGCGGCTTGGAGCGGGAAGGATAACTGCACTTCTTAGAGTACGACGTCATTATTCATGTGCGTCTATGGGGTTGAAACTTTTGCGGTTGTTCGTTGTTAGCCGCCCCTTGATAACGTAGGATCCGACCAGGGAAATTACATGTAATAGGAGCAGTATACTGGAAGCAATGTGCAAATGTAGGCGCTATTATTTTCGACAAAATGTCAAATTCCACTTTCCTGCCATGTCGCCATGCACCACGGGAAAATGAAGCAAGACCCCCCCCCCCCCCCCCCCCCCCCCCCCCCCCCCCCCCCCCCCNTCTCTCTCGGTCTACATGCGTGTTGCAGAATAACGGTGGACCTCACCTGGAGCACAGTCTATTGCATGTACAAGAAGGCGCAGCGATGGGCAGCTGTGTACGGCTGTGTTCTGCCAGGAACATAGACCCGACGTTGCGTACTATCGTTAGGTTTTTCCGCCGTCGCACGAGAGGTGTCTTTCCCTTCAATAGCTAGTGTGGTATGCGATATGTACTTCGCCTGGCGACTGAAGGGGTTCCGGAGGCTGGGGTCCATATTAAAATGGTGCCTGCGCTGCGTTGGGCATTAAAAGGCGATAGATGTAAACATTTTACGCCCCTTGCTCTAGTAGACTCTATCGACGGTTTCGAGGCTGTCGCTGGTACGCTTTTCGCCCATATGTGGGCATGACCATCACGTGGACGTGAGTACGGATAGCAAGATCTGCGCTGCACAGTTAGGGTTCAGCCCAACAGTAGTGTAAATGCCGGTCGTATGCCGGTCGTATACTTGATATCAAATCATCGGGGTCCTGCAATACGCCAGAGGAGGCGGTCCGCCCATATCCTACACTGGTCAGCAAACACAACAAACGCACAAACGATGCAACCTCAAATCCCAAGTACGTGTCAAAGACCTTCGTCAGGGAAGGAAAAGCAAAGAGCAGGTCTGGTGTGCTCGTTCTGTCACCCTCTTGTCTCCCACACAAACCACGTCTCCGTAGAACTACACCTCCTCCGGCGGTAGGTAGCACGCGGGAGCATCACAATCCTGTCTGGAGGGTTATCCTTGAGCCACCGCCCTCTGCTTTTCGCGGGTCCCAAAAAGGTCAACCTCAGCTTAAATGCCACTCCCATGCGCCTGACCCGCAACACCTGTTTCAAAATATAAAATACATTCTTGTGCGTGTCCTCGAGATACGCCTCGGCAAACGCGTCCGTGGTGGCGTCCAGGTGGGTATCGGCGACCAACCTGTGAGAGGGAGGCCAATCATACGTAGACGAAACTTATGTTGGACGCAAGTATCTGAAGTTGGATTCCCGCCGGGGGG